AGCTGAAGCTGCAGGAAGCCGGTCGGACCGGCGGTTCTGAGGAGAAACGGGTCAGAACTAGGAATAAACTGGAGTTTCCCGGGAATTTACAAAAACTCGACTTTATGAACTCAGAATCCCAAAGAAGAGAGAACCTGAGAAGAACTGGAGGAAAACCGGATGCCTCTCTGGTTCTGATCCGATTCTGATCCGGAACCCATTAATGAGGCTCTGTGTCACTTTGGACCTTCATGAGGAAACCAGTTAAACGTTAACCGGAGGCAACACCTTCAGGCAGGGTGGGGCTCCCAGGTGACTGACTCACCTGCAGGGGGCGGGGCTTCAGGGGACAGACAGGAAGTAAACTGAGGAAAACTGAGGAGCCAATCAGAAGCCAGCAGGCAGGTCTGGTTCTGAACTTTCGGATCAGAAGTGTTGCCAATAGAGCTGAAACAGGAAGTTGCTGAATAACTGGGAATTAAACCACAGAAACCCTTGGAAAACTCAATTTGGTCCAAAATCAGAAAAACTGCGGTTCTGATCCACTTCAGCAAAACCGAGTCGACCCAACAGAACCGCATCCTGGCTGACCTGCAGAGAAATCCTGAAGGTGTCAAAGTTCCTGCAGGATTCACTTCCCGTCAACCCGGACAGCTTCTGCAGAACCCAAAAGGTTCCGGTTCCATCCCAGCAGAATCAGCCTGGAACCTTTTGGGTTCTGGTTTGGCCTGTGCGGGGTTTGACCGGCGGAGGGGGACAGACAGAAAGCAGGGCGCGTCCCGCTCTGCAGCCTTCATTCCAGGCTGAAAGGTGTTCCGGCCGCGGAAGGATACACACCCAGCCGCCCGCAGCGCGCAGCCTTCACCTGGACACAGGTGGGCCACAAATGACGTCCAGGCTGCTGACGTTGTTAATGAGATTTACCAGCCAGGCTAAAGCTAAGCTAGCAGCGCCGGGCATGTTGAGTTCACATCTGCGTCCCGTTAGATGTAGACCCGGCTAACCGACCCGCTACCTTCAGACACAGAACCAGTACCACCGGCCAGAACTGAATCAACAGTTCCGTTGGTCCTGTGCAGGAAGCCGCTTCAGAACCGAGGAACCACCTGCAGGGGTTACCAAACCATCCAGAACACCGTCTGAAAACAGAGCCGCTGCAGCGGGAGGGGGGCAATTAAACGGGTTAACTAAACGGGTCAGAACAGCTTATTTAACCCGACTGGTTCTGTTGGGAGCATTGAAATGGGTCAGCTGACTGCGGCAGAACCGAGCCGGTTTGATTATCTGGACGGAATAAACACCGTTAATCTGTTTTCCGGGTCGCTCCCTCCCTGAAGTTCCTGATTTCTCCGTCTGTCTCCTCTCCGTCCCACCAGCCGCTCCCAGTTCCGCTTTGTTCCCCTCACCAGTAAACGCAGTGAAACCAGTGACATGCGTTCCGGTTCGGCCTACCTGCTAACTGGGTCTAGCAGTGATTTGGTCCGTGTTCTGTCGCAGGGTGTGCAGACTGCAGAGCAGACAGAGCTTCGGTGGGTTTCTTCCTGGATGAAGTGAATTTACCCGGCTGGCACCGCGGCGTGTTTCCGCCCCTCTCAGCCTGATTCCTTTCCCATATAAGGAGCGCGGAGGCAGAGGGCAGCGGCGCTCTGACGCCCAGAAACCACCGCTTTTCTTACTCTCATCATGGCTGCAGCATGCACCGTCATGACAGCAGGAAGCAGAAACTAAACATGCTTCTATCTGCACGCTGCAGTTAGCGCCACTCTGCAGTCAGAGGCGCACAGAGCTGCACATGTGCACCAAATCGGATGCAAAGCAGAACTCTGCTCTTATGTAGGACAGAAACATACCTTGCAGTGAAGCTGCAGGAGCAGAAGGTGGATGAGGTGAAGAAGAGGATGGAGGGGCGGGTTGTTCGCAGAGCAGGCCTAAACAAACCCCCAAACCAGCAGGGGGCGCCCCGTAAATGACAACAGATCAAAAATGTTATTTGTGTTATTGAGAATATTTTGAAACAATGCTGGACACTGCAAACTAAAATGTTACCAGCACTTACAGCATTAATGGAAACTTTAGCTCCACTAACGCTAAAAGGCTATGCTAACATGGTACTTAAAGGAAGCTAATGATAAACTGTCACGCTTATCACCAGCCACGATTAGACCAGTGACTCAGTCTATGTTAAAGTTCTTGCTATCACCTATCAGTGAAGTTGCGCTTTAGGAACTAATTCTTTGGATCAGTCGTTTCACTCGTGGTTTCAGTTTTTTTGTTGTTGATTTTGCTTTAAGATTTATTTATGGGAAGTTAAGTGTGCTAAATGTTTTCAATGTTGGCTAAGCCACTAAATGAAATACTAGCTCCGCCGTTAGCGCATTAGCAGAAGTGTACCCACCACTGTTAATACAGTTTCAGCCAAGATAAATTAAAATATTTTATACAGAATTTAAATTTAAGACTTAAAGGAAATATAAGTTCATTTTATAAAACTGTAAAGAATAATTGATGGATTTCCTACCAAAGTGCTCTGATGCTTTGTGTTTGTGCTCAGTTTGTTTACAGTTAGCTCAGCTAATTAAACGTCCAATGCTGCCAGTGGGGATCGGGCCCCAAGTCTAATTCTGCTGCAGGCCTCAGAACACTTTGGGTCGGCCCTGGTTGTTGGGATGAACCGGAACTATTCCCAGGTCAAAGATCATCAGCTTGTACGACCAACATCAACAAAACTGATGCTTTCTCATAAAACCAGAAAACAGCAAGTTGTCTAATGACAGGAAATGACCTCAATCTACTTCCTCCTTAAACGAACTGGGACATTTCTGTCTGCTTCAGTTTCAGGAGGAAACCATAACAGCTCTTAGAAGGTCACATCCAAACACCAGCCATTATAGACGTCATCATCACCATCATCATCATCATCATCATCATCATCATCATCATCAATGAAGCAGCAAAGAGGAGCTGAGGTTAATGGGCTGAGAAAAGTCAATGACAGGATAAACTTCAGCTGAGCCGTCTGAATGAGACGATCACCGTGGCAACAGCAGATGGATGATGTTCGGTTCCCATACAGAAAATAAAATCCTTTTGAATGATTATTTTTATCACAAAACTAATAGAATCAAAAAAATCAGGACTGATGGAAATAAAGTCATGTAAAGAGTAAATATGTAGTCTGTACAAATACTGATTATTCACTTATATTACAAAAGATAATCTGTGAAACAATAAGGTAAGAAGAAATCAGTACTTTATAAATGTAATAGACTGTTTTCTGAGGAGCTACAAAGAGCCAGGAGAGGATGGCAGTTCACCACTGGACCTCCAGGGGGCAGCAGACTCCGTAGGAGCCAAAGGGCCAGCGGCAGCGGACGCATCATGCTGGGTTTGCCATCCTAACCATCGTACTTTGGTTAAGTTATCCTAACTCCTTCCAGTTTCTCCAATGCTCTTCCTTCACACTGAGACGTTTTCAACAGACAGCAGAGAAAAGTCAATACAGAAGCAGCAGATCCAGAACCACACAAAGAAGCGACCCACTAACTCAGATACAACCTGATTGTTCTTTAAAAACTGCACAGAAACAAACAAAACCGGAAAACAGCAGAAAGAGCAGAGCTGGTCATTAAATATGACAGACGGGTTTGTAAAACACCCTTTAGTGAAACAGTGGACCAAATACCTGCATACGGTATGATACCAGAGAACATTTCAGGAAATAACAGGAGAAAACCAGGCGAATATCGTGACAGAAATGATCTGCAATAAATAGACACTTAAGTCTACATCATTAATGGTCTGCTTTGGTTTACTTATTAACTCACAATAATCACAATCCAAGCAGCTCTTTATACGGTGCAGAGGTGGATAGAAGTCACATGGGTATCTTTTAAACAAAAGATTACTTCTGAGTAGGCATGCTGCACTGTACTTTTTACTTTCACTTTAATAATGTCATTATTAAGTGTTGCTAACTGCTAGCACTTTCACTGAATGAAAAACAATGTTCAACCAAAACATGTATCAGACAAACATCTAGTTTATGGCAAAGTGAAACCTCTTGTTTCTACACAATCTTTGGGCTACCTGGAGGTCAAGTGTAAGCAGTAGATATTACTTCTTATTAGTACTTATTATTAGTACTTCGCATTTGTTTCATGAGTTTTACGTCGACTAAAAATACATATAAGTTTTTTTTTTTCATTTTAGGATTTTCACCAAACTTGATATTTTGGTCAAAATAATTTTGGTTTTTGGTTTAAATACTAAACCAGATCTTATGAACAGTTACTCGGTCCTTAATTCTTTTACAGTCGAGTCATTTTTTGATAACTTCTTTTACTCACCTGGATAAAAATGCATTGAATTAGCGCTACTCTTACTTTAGTACAACCACTGGTGGATCCCCGTCTATTCGTCGATTTTTTCTGTTTAACATGACTCCTAATTACTCGTGAAAAAAATCGTCTATTCAATAATTATTTTAGATTTTTGGACAACACGTCTACAACGGTCAAAAGAAAATGTCGCTCGGGAAGCTGAAACACGAAAGCCCAATGCTAGCTGACACGCTATTGGCTGGCGTTAGAAAAACCATCCAATCCAGGAGAGACATGTACTTTCGTTGGCTCTGATTGGCTGAACCCGTTATCGTGGAGTTAAGAGCACTATGGGCATTAGCTAAGCTTCTGCTAAGACGGTTTCCACCGTGTATTAACATATAAGGCTATATTTAGTGTTTTAACTATTAAAATACGGAGTTATAAGCATTTTTAGAGGAAGTCTAAACTATTTATGGGTATTTGTGGTCCATAATTTCCTTGTATGTCACTGTTTTAATGTTGTCCACACTGGTACTGCGATTCATTGTGCAGTCATTTTCGGATGTTCTCCAGAGAACCATCACAACTTTAGCTCCTGTCTTCTGCTAACAACCAGAACCTGTTTAAACCAGTGACTGAAGAACAAACCCAGCAAGACAAAGATCTACAAAGAAAAATCAGTCAATTTTTTTTCTACAATAAACTTTTAAAACATTTTATTTAGATTTACAGATGATCCAGTTTCATTAGGTTTGACCACAGATAGACGGGAAGACGATTCCTCATTAAACATTAGAAAAACAACCAGTGCCTCCCTGTTCTGGCTTCACAGTGAAATCTGCAGAGCTGAGGTCCTACAGGTAACAGGAGCTGAAAATCAAGAGGACAGATGGATGAGTAGAAGCAACATGGTGTCGCTCTGCGTTTCTTCCCCCGGCCAGGAAACAACCAGGCTGCTTCATGGTGGTTCTGGTTGAGCAGATCAGAGGAAACCTTCTCATCAATCTCCTGCTTCACATCTGAATCTATAATTTCCTCTTTTGATTTTTAGAAAAGCAACATTCAGTTTTCACATATTTTCTCAAAACTATTTAAATTCCTCAGCTTTAGAAGTTATGAGCTTTTCAGGACAAAGTATAATCGAGCAAAATAAATAAGAAAACATTCAATTAAAAGCTCATCATCCAGATAAAAATCAGGGTTCTGGTGACGACCTGTCTAAGCAGGAAGACTACAGATTAAAATCCCATCCTGTTTCCCCTTTAATAGGAAAGTAAAAGCTTTTATTGAAATAAAACCGAAGCTAAAATGAGGCACACAGTCGGAGAAGCTTTCAGTTTTTCTCCCATGTGAGCTTCCTGTCTGCAGCGACCAGCTTTGAATCCAACCCACCGGCTGATTTCAAAGCAACACCAGAGACAGAACGGGGTCAAAGTTCATCAGCAGCATCTCAGAGGAGGGGCTCAGTCAGCGCCTTAACAGGCTGCTCTCCAGTGTGCGACAGGATTTCAGAATAAAAGCCCACTCGGACCGTCCGGTGGGTCAACAACACAGGAAACACGCAGACATGCAGCAGAACCTCCGGCCCGGTCCAATCCGGCCCGGCAGTCCTCATGCAGGGATCTGGACCGGCTTTGGGTCGGTAGCTCTGGTTTGGTGGCAGTGTTTGGTTGCGGTGTGAGCGCGCCCAGCCGGCACGTCGCTGAAGCAGGAAGTGATGCGTCCATCAGTAGACATCGTCTCACAGTGAGTACCCAGCGGCCCAGAACCCATGAGAACCCGGTTCTGGCTAGACCCGGCGCTATAGCAGCTCCTCGCGGGGCTTCTTGGTCCTTGGGGGCCCCTGGCCGTTGTTCAGGGAGCCGTTCTGGGGCCGCAGCAGGTGGCCGCGCTCCTGGCCCTCGTCGCTGTCCAGGTCCGAGTCCGAGTGCATGAGGGCCGAGGAGGCGGGGCCGGGGGCCGGCTTCAGGCGCGCTGCAGGGTGGCACAGGGGTCAGAGGTCAGATCATGCATTCTGTAGGACTGCAGCTAACGATTAATGCAGCAAACAATTAATCTATTGATTAATCAGATAAAAAAATGATAAATTTCTGCAGGCTGCTTCTGATGACCGAGTGTTAGAGCCAGGCTTAGAAAAAACATAATTATGAGAATAAAATCATAATATTACCAGAATAAAGTCATCAGATTAGAATAAATTGTTATTTAAACTCCAACACAAAAAATAAAAATGAGGAATGTTGAACATTTTGTGAAGTTCCACTTTGTTTTTGGTTTTACAGATTAGGAATTATTTAATCTTTTAACACATCAGCATCAAATTATGAGCAGCAGGAATTTGAAACAAATGAGAAACATTTTATTTATTATGTAGAAATAATCAGACGGATCTCTCGCTCTCATTAAAATAATTTATCTGGTTATTTTACAACTTTGTTCTGTTAATATTATGACTTTATTCTCGTAATTTAAATAAAAATGTCTTAGACTGGCTCTAATGCTCATATATTATACAGCAGGGGTCACCAACTCCAGTCCTGAGGGCCATCCTGTACTTTTAGATTCACCTCTGCTCAAACACACCTGGATCAAATAAACTGCTCATTTCCAGCCTATTGCAGAGAGGAATGAGTGCTGGTGAGGGAATTCAGACATTCTGGAGCAGGATGGCAGCCCTGGGGGAGTTGGTGACCCTGTTATACACAATTCTAGAAATACATGAAAAATGCAAATAAACAGATAAATCAATTAATTTTTCAAGGAAGAAAATCTAAATTTTCTTCCTCAAAGTCAATAACAACAATCCTTTAGTGATCGATTGTGTGTGTGTGTGTGTGCGGTTGTGTGTGTGCGTGTGTGTGTGGTTGTGTGTGTGTGTGTGTGTGTGTGTGTGTGTGTGCGTGTGTGTGTGTGGTTGTGTGTGTGTTTGTGTGTTTGAGTGTGTGTGCGCGGTTGTGTGTGTGTGTGTGTGTGTGTGTGTGTGTGTGTGTGTGTGTGTGTGTGTGTGTGCTGGCCCTACTGATTCTGGGCAGCTGCAGCTCCATCACTTCCTGCTCTTCACCTTCCAGAATTTTATATCGACTTTTACTGCGGCGAACTTTACTTCTTCGTCTTCCAAGACACAAAACATCATCACCATCATCACCATCATCATCAGCATCATCAGCTGGCGGCCAATCAACAACCACCAGGATCTGAACTCACCTGTTGCAGCAACACACCACCGACCAGATCAGCGTTGCCACGGCAACCACAATCAGAAAGGACACTATGGTCACATACAGAACGCTCCACTCTGGAAAGAAAACACGTTACAGTTTAAAGACAGGATCATTGTCGTCGTCGTCCTCTTCCTCCTCCTCTTCATCATACCACAGTTGCTCTCCGCCTCTCCCAGCTCGGCTCTCAGGAAGTTCTCCATCCAGAACGGCCGGCAGACGCACTTCCTGGTGAACGAGTCGCACTCTCCGTGTCCGGAGCAGTTCAGCTGGCACACTGAGGAAGAGAAGGGAGGTGAGGAAGAGTCTCAGCATCAGTCCGGCCTTGCGGCTCCCCCTGCTGGTCCCGGTCGGCGCTGCGACTCACCGACCGTGTCTACGCGCTGCGCCTTGAAGATCAGGAAGTCGTTCTTCTGTTTGCGTAGTTTGCTGCGTAGGCTGAGCGTGACACTGCGTCCGGACAGCGGGGGGCGCCCCGGACCGCCCGACACCAGGAACACCAGCCGGGTGCTGAGGAAGAGGAGAACGTCTCAGCTTCATCACAGACAAACGGCCGGAGGCCGACGGGACGGGGGCGTGGCCCACCTGTGCTCGTCGAAGGCGCCGATCTCCCTGACGATGATGTCACCGTCCAGGACGCCGAGCAGGACGCCGACCTGACGCAGCAGCAGGTCCCGCTGCCGCTGGGACACCTGGGATACTGAGACCTCCAGGACCAGCTCGACCAGGTCCCGCTGCCAAGGGTCTGACAGGGACAGAGGTCAGGCAGGGGTCAAGGAGAGGTCAGGAGAAGGTCACAGAAAGGAATCGGATCAGTGGGTCGTCAGGTAGGTCTGACTTTAATTGATTTATTGATGAACTGAAGATGTGGGAAATCTGGACTTTGTCGTTGTGTAGTGATGTCATCGCGCCATGGCGGCCATATTGTTTTACAGCTTCTATTTATATGGACTTTATTTCAGGTTGCCTACGATGGAATATTAAAGCCTTGCTGGGATATTTTATTTTTAAATTATGAGAAAAAAGTCTGAATTGAATAAAAAGATAAAATCAGAATCAGAATTCCTTTTAATGAAGAAAGTTGAGCAGCTGGTGAAGTTTTACTTTTTATCCGTTTTTCAGATAAGAAAATTCTTCATCTTTTAACAAATTAGTTTGAAAGTTTGATTCATAAAAACATGAACTGAGATGCTCACAGCAGATTTATGACTTTCTGAAAGCTTTTCTCAGTTTTAGACATTTTTTTAAATTGCATATTTATTCTGCTAATATTACTTTATTCTCTCTATTAAACTGCAGCGCCGCCTCAGAGGACGGATGATTGAAATAAAAATATTTACTGTAACTGGAGTTTATTTGGAAGCCATAAAGCCTCGCCCTGGTTGTGATTGGTTCTGGTCGGGTTTCCTACCGGGTCGGACCTCCACGGTTCCCCGGTCTGAGCTGCTCTGTCCTTTGCTGTCGGTCACCTGCAGCGTGAAGCTGTACTTCCCCTCCACCAGGTTCCCCAGGAACAGCACAGCCTGGTGGTCGGAGTTGTTCAGGACATCCTGGAAGACAAAACCACCAGCATGAGGATCCGGAGCCAGAACCAGAACCTGGACCCAGTGAGGTGGTGCAGAACATCTCACCCCCGCCGCCGGGCTGCTGTCGTCTCGGCTCCACAGGAAACTCAGGCCGCCTTTATCATCCGAGGAGCGAGACCCGTCCAGGGCGGCGGTTCTGACGGGCAGGGAGACTGGCGGGCTGGACAGGACCCGGGCCACAGGAGGCTGGTCCTTTTCTGGAGGGACGACAGGGACAGACACTCACTGCAGGCCTCCTGATTGGCTGCGAGACACTGCAGGCCTCCTGATTGGCTGCGAGACGCTGCAGGCCTCCTGATTGGCTGCGAGACCCACTCCAGAACGGCCCACTGACCTTCTCTGACGATGACCTTCACCGTGTCGCTGCTCTCCAGCTTCCTGTCATCCGCCACCATCAGCGTGAAATGGTACTCCCCGACCTCCAGGCCCGTTACCGTGGCAACAGCTTTGTCTGCGTTGTTGATCTTCACGCCGTCCGGACCGCTGGAGGAGCAGAAAGTGTCCAGAAAGGAGTCCGTTTTTAAATCAGCCCGAGTCCAGTGAACCTCCAGAACCAGAACCAGAACCAGAACCGACCTGGTCTTGGTCCAGTGGTACGTGGCGATCTTCTGGTCGTCACTGCTCTTACTGCCGTCCAGCGTGGTTTCATCCACCGGCAGTGTCAGCTCCTTCTCCGGCCCGGCGTCCGCCACCGGAGGCTGGTTGTTCTCTGCAGCATTATTAGAACCCAGCAGAACCACCAGAACCAGTTTAAAATGTCTTGTTTTTCTTCCTTTGACCAAATGTTTAAGAACTGAAGAGCGTGAATACTTTCTGCTGTGTTTATTGGCAGACAGACCAACAGGAAGGTCCTGGATCTAATCGGACCATGAAACATACTGAGACGGTTCTGACCCGGTTGCACGATGACGATGACCTTGGACGTGTCTTGCTGTCCTGCCAAGTCCGTCACCGTCAGCTGGAAGGTGTAGTCTCCCTCCTGCATGGCCGACAGCTGCAGGATCGGCGTCCGCACGCCCTGGAAACCACGGGACACGGTGAGGCCAGCGCTCCGGGACCGACCCGGACCGACCCGGCGGCGCTGCAGAACCTCACCTGCATCTCCACCACCTTGTCCTTGCTCTCTGGGCTCAGCGACCACTCGTAGCTCAGGTTGTCGTGGTCGTCCGTGCTCTGGTTGCCGTATAGCGTGATGGAGTTCCTCGGCAGCTGGATGGCCTGGAGAGAGACACACAGCCCGTTGGGACTGGTACCGCCTGGGCCCGGTTCTACGGCCCGATTCTACAGTGCACTGTTGGGGCCAAAATTAAGACTGCGTTCACCCAGTAGTGGCTGCTGCATTGTTCCAGAAGGTTTTATCCAAAGCTAGCTCCTGATCTGATTAATGATAGACCAACAGCAGTAATTCAGAGGGAGAAGACCAGCTAACATTAACTTGGAGAGGCTAACAACTAGCTAGGTTGGTCATCCACTGAGTTGCCTTTTCCTCTACTACCCATTAGCATGGATAGGCTAATGTTAGCATTAGACAGGTTGGGGTTTAAACTGGATAGGCTAGTGCTAAGCTATCCAATGCTAGTTGTTGTATAGGCAGAAGAAGTTGAATTGCCTACTTCTTCTGTTCATTAGCACAGATAGCATTAGCTAGCATTAGCATTGGACAAGTTGGTGTTTAAATTGGATAGGCTACTGCAAGGCTATCCACAGCTAACATTAGCCTTGGAAAGGCTAACATCTAGCATGCCTTGGCGGGTCACCCATGACTTGTACTAATTCTTTCAATTAACAATTGGCTAAGGTGCAATTCCACCTAATATTTGAACTTTCACAAATTAAATAGAGATTTCACAAATTACCAACTAGGTTTTAAATATTCTGCTTTTAACGTCGCCTAATGTTGTCCATGTTTGCAACATCTGAGCACTGAAGTTTTTAACCTAGAGCTAATTAAAGGGCAGTATAGCATTAGATGCTTTAGCCATCTAATACAGCATGTTTACACTTAGCGTCGCTTTGGATTACAGTAAACAAAAATACAACCCATCTGAAGCATGGTGCCTACAGATACTCCATGCTAACCATTTATCTTGATTTTTTGGTTGATCAAGTTTTTCTACATCAGCCTAGACACGCTAGTTGTTAGCCTATCCAATGCTAACACAAGCCTACCCAGTGTTGATGGTAGTTTTTCAAATGTATTGTTATTAATGTTAGCCTATCCAATGCTAATGCTAACTGAACTAATGGTAACACCAGCATATCTAATGCTAATGCTAGCCTATCCATAATAATGGACAGCAGAGGAAGTAGGATGACCAGCCTAACCATGCTAATCATTAGCCTCTCCAAAGCTAACGCTAGCTAGTATTCTCCTGCTCAGTTAGTGATGCCAGCCGATCATTAATCAGGTCAGTAGCTAGCATCAGAGCAGAAGTAGCATCCTGGGAACAAAGAAGTACCCCCCGCTGGGTGGAGAATAGTCAAAATTTTGGCACTATTGGCGCGCCGTACAGTCCAGAGCCAACAGGAAGGAGGTTTCTGACCTGGTTTGGGCCGGCGTTGGCTACAGGCTTGTAGTCCTTGGCTTTGTTGACAGAGAGGGTAGCCTGGGTCGAGTCCGTGGCGCCGTCCGAGTCCGTGACGGTCAGACTGGAGGAGGAATGAGGAGGAAAACTCATTCACATTGTTTTACTCAGAGAAAAGTTCTGGCTGGCAGCTTTAACCTCCCTAGACCCGGTCTGTGTTTGGACCAGAACCTCAGCAGAACCAGCCGGGTTCCTCCAACCCCACCTGAACGTGTAGTTCCCAGGAACCAGGTTGGTGAGGGTGAGGATGGGTGTGTCGGCAGAGACCTTCTCCTCCCTCAAGGGACCTTTGACCTCCTCCCAATGCCAGGTCACGACCTTGTCGTCGTCGGTGCTCTCTGCGCAGAGGAAGAGGAGGAGGAGGAAGGTTTGGGTCAGCACTATGGCGGCTGGCAGCGTTTGTGTTGAGTAAAAACCACTCACGGCTGCCGTCGATCACCGTGGAGCTGATCGGCAGGGAGATCTCCTGGTCCTTGGGGGAAACCGTGGCAACCGGGGGTTTGTTTACGCGTGGCTCTGCCAAGTGGAAAATGAGACATTAAGTGGATCACTGAGCAGAACCAGAATCAGTCAAACACATCATGGGATGTTCATTCATGTGATCTGATCTGCTCATTTATCAACTGTGCTGTCCAAAGCGTGGCATGCGGGCTGTTTGTGGCCCTTTACATGATTTTGTTCGGCCCAAGACCAAATAAAAAAGGTAATAATTTGGCCAACAAAACAGAAAACAACTGATGACCAAAAAAAGTGGAAATTAGTTTTTCTTTTAATAAGGCAGGTTGTAGTTCTGTTTGTGTTAATGAACCCTAACCCTTTCATAAACATTTACTTTATTGATGAGCAGATAAGAAAAAAAACTTTTAATGAAAAAGTATCTTTTCAATTAATAAATATAAATTGTCATATTATATAAATGTGTGTATCTTCTGCTCCTCACTCACTTCTTTTACCGGCCAAGTCTGAACAGAACCTGAACAGAACCTGAACAGAACCTGAACAGAACCTGAACACAACCTGAACAAAACCTGA